GCCATGAGCCATAGCTCTCTGCCATGTGCCAGTCTGCCTTATAATCTGCCAAGTACGGACTGAAACCTCTACAAACTGTAAGCGAAATAAACCTTTCCTTCCTTCATTTTGGGTGTCAGGTATTTTGTCCCAGCAACGAGAAAAAAGTAACCAAGACAATTAGCCAACTTTCCATTACTATGATGAAATACCTGAGAAAAGCAACTTACAGGAGGAAAGGCTTATTTTGGCTTAGGATGTCAGAGGTTCCAGTCTCTGCTCTGCTAATGATATTGCTTCCAGGCCTGTGGCAGGGCAGAAACATCATGGTGAAAGGGTGTGGCAGAGGAAAGCTGCTCACCCTGTGGCAGCTGAAGCAGAGAGAGAAGGCAGGAGCTGGAGACCAGACATCCCCCCAGGATTGCACCTCTGGCCCCTCCCATCAGTGCGGGATTCAACCTGTCATGGATTAATCCACTGATGTTGGTGCTCTCATGAGTCGGTTCCCTCCCAGAAGCCTGTCACTTGCCAACCAAGCCCCAGCACATGGTCTTTGGGGGACATGAGAGGAACTACTTGATTTCTGCATGACTCATATTCCATTCCTCTCCTGAAAGGCTGATCTACATGAGAACCCAGAAAATGAAGAGAGTGCCTTTTGAGCATGGGAGGAGGAGGAGAAGGAGGGAAACTCCTTGGAGGAGGAGAGGAGGGAAATGCATTTGTATTCAGTGACAACAACTAAGAAAGCTAGATGCTGCAATGAGAAGAATATGGCTCTTAACAGAGCCTAGATGCCCCTTGCTAGAGCGGTTGGATGGGCAGTGACAGTAATTACCTCTGGGACTGCTTCCTCTCAGCTTCCACTGCGCACCAAATCCCATGTGATCCCAGGTGGTTATGAATGGTGCTGCACTCTGGTACTGGGAAGGAAGAACGTGATGGGCTTGAGAGGGCTTTTGGAGGGAGAATGCGCAGAACTTGGAGAGTGAGTGTAAGGGAACAAGAGTTAAAATACAGCGTAATTTCCAGCTCTACGCAGGGAAGCGCAGGGCAAGGCGTGTCGCAGCTACGTGCAGCTATAGGAACAGCAGCAGGAGAATGGGGAAATGTGCTCCAGGAGCCAGAGCTGGCTCACACAGATGAGTGATGTCACTCGGTAGGCAGCTGGGACTTCAAAGGCCTTGACGCTGTTGGACCAGGTTGTCCAGGGATGCACGCTGAGGGAACGGCAGGGCGTCATGGTTTGTGTGGGTTTCCCCCAGAGCCACATACAGTCGTGGGGTGGCTTTCAGAGATTGTGATTGATTCGTGGGTGTGAGTGCTACACCGCCCTGGGACAGGTTGTTTGCATAGGAATGTAAGGAGGGAAGGAGGCTGCTTGCCACTGCTCCTCCCTTTTGCTCTTGCTGCTTTTGCTGTCTTCCACCCAATGGTTGCCCTCTGCCATGTGCCACCCTGCCTTGGAGCCGGTCACGTATGGATTGAAAGCTCCACAGACTGTGAGCTAAATAAACCTTTCCTTCCTCAATTGTGGGTGTCAGGTATTTTGTCTTAGCAACGAGAGAACAGTAACCACAGGGTCACATCTGCGTTTCAGGAGTGGCTGCGTAAAGCAGTTTGGGGCTTAGTGCTTAGCGGCACTATGGCGAGCTCCTGGTCAGTAGTTGATTATTTGGATTTTTCTACTTCCAACTGGATGATCTGGTAAATAGTTACGTAAATAGAGAAATTACTTCTAATTTTTAAAAAATACTCTGTATCCTGAGTGAACCCTAGGAATATTCTGTATAGAGTATCCTTCCAGGGAGTTTTATTTCTCAGAAAATAGTATAATTGATCCTTCTGGTAACCTTATATAACCTCAATAATTGTTCTGCAGAGTTTAAAGTAAATTCAATAACTTGAATTAGAATTAAGTAATTGGAAGATATGTAAGTTCCTTATATCATACTTGTATGAGTACATGCATAAAAGCAGTCATACTGCTATCTAGAAAAATACAAGATCAAAGAATCATAGAATCTATAAGGTTAAAGGAAGTTCTAACAGTATTAGAACTAAAAACAATTTTAGATTAATTAACAACTTTGAGTATTTTATTTTATTTTATTTTATTTTATTTTATTTTATTTTATTTTTTTGGTGGTGGGGATTGAACTCAGGACCTTGCATTTGCCAGGCAGGTGATGTACCCCGGAGCTATATCCCCAGCTGATTAACAACTCTGAAACACCAAACATACTTTCTGGAAACCACCAGCTTTTTCAGCTCTGTAACATGCTGTTATGGTTGAAACATTGTGTCAACTTGGGGAGTCTAGAGGTTTGGCTAAGCGACTCAGCAGGAAGCCTGAGGCTGTGGAAGAGGAGGGCAAAGATTATGTGAGAGCTACACGCCCCTTAGGTGGGGGTAGCCTGTTTACAATGTAAGGCAAGAAAGAAGCTGCTTGCTGCCATTCCTCCTTTTTGCTCTGGCTGCATTGCTGTTCGGCTGCCATTCCCCCCTTTGCTCTTGTTGCTTGCTGTCTTCTGCCTCGGAGCCAACTAAGTATGGACTGAAACCTCCACAAACTGTGAGCCAAATAAACCTTTCCTTCCTTCATTTTGGGCGTTGGGTATTTTGTTTCAGCAACGAGAGAAAAGTAACCAAGACACATGCTCAAGAAAAGTTAGCAGTTTGTCAACAATCTGGCCTTCTCTCATTGTAAGGAAGAAACTAATTCTTGTGGTTACAGAGTTAATTCTAGTTAGTTCTAGTCTTGTTTCTCTGTTTGTAAGACCCCCCCTCCCAACAGTGAGAAACCTGGCTTTAGTCAACCTTCCTATGCAGACCCATTGGATGGGTTCCCCTCTGTAACTGGTCTGTCATGGCCACCGTGCCCGGACACTCGTGGACACTCCCCCCCTCCCCGGGCTCTGACACCCAAGGTAGGCCACCGCCTTGTGCGGCGTGTACCTTCCTCACCTGCCCAGGCGTAGGTACTTCCTCCCCTCTTGGCTGTGAGCCATTGTGCCGGGCCACTGCCGTGTGCGGTGGCCTCCGTGTTCACTTCGGCTCGGAGCCTGCTTCTCTCGCCTTGGGCGCCCTCCCTTTCCCACCTTCACTACACGCCGCAGCTCTGCCTGGGCGTTGGCTTTCCACTGCGGTGCCTCTCCCGCACGAACTCCAGCGCGCCCTCAGGGCAGCCCTTCAGGCAAGTGCATACTGTGTCCTGCCCTACTTTATGCCCTAGGACTGCTCTGTTCACAGAAGGAAAGGAAGGAGCAAGAGAGAGGAATAAAATGGGAAATGAAGAGGGAACCAGGAAAGCTAATGTACTTAAAAAAAAAACACAACCTTTGAATTATTAACCATTGTTCAAATACACTAATATATTTTAAATATCTGTATTTTGTCTTTCAAACAGGTTATGAAGTTCATGGGATGGAAAAAATACCAGAAGAAGGACCAGCACTTATAATTTTTTATCATGGAGCTATTCCTATTGATTTTTACTACTTCATGGCTAAAATTTTTATCCTCAAAGGCAGAACTTGCCGAGTAGTAGCTGATCACTTTGTCTTTAAAATTCCAGGTAAACTCACCAAAGATAGTGATGTGAAAATGTTTAATTAACAGGAACAAATTATATGATAGTCTGCCTTTGAGGTCCAATGCCATTTTCTGTCATTTTGGGGTAACAAGCTTAGAACTCTAATTTGAAAGCATCTAATTAACTTGTTTAGGCAGTGTATCTAAAAATAGATTATTACGGCCAGAAGTATTACCTACATTCTTTATTAACAGGTATTTAGTCTCATTTCACTTTTAAAGTTAAATCTTTTCTACTGTCTTTTTTTTTGCTTTTGTTGGGATAGCATCTTGCTATGTTGGTCAGGCTGGCCTTGTCCTCCTGGTGTCAAGGCAGTTCTCCTGCCTTCCCTCCTGAGTATCTGGGACTGTAAGCATGCCCCAGTGCTGCGGGCTTAAACTTGAACTTTATTTTTGCATTGCTGGTGCCCAGGGCCTCGCCAATGGTAGGCAAGCACTTTACCACTGAAAAATATCCTTAGCCCAAATGTTAAAACTTTAAAAATAAATTCTAATTTTTGCAAAACAATGTGTAGCCTGACATAGTGGGCGATTAATTTTTCATACGATGGATTCTTTTGTAGGATAACGATTTTTGTAGTTTAATTTTACTGTGAGAGTTTCACAGCTATCAGTTTGATAGCAAATCAAAATCAAGGAAAAAATGAACCAGGTTATATTATACACAACTTTTAAACTGTTGATAAAAACTTTGAGCCTTTTTTTTTTTTTTTTTTTTTTTTTTTGAGACAGGGTCTTACTGTGCAGTTCAGGCTGGCCTTGAGCTCACTTTGTAGCCCAGGCTGGTCTCGAACTCTCAACGGTCCTCCTGCCTCAGCCTCCCCAGTGCTGGGGAGTGCTGGGATTACAGGCGTGTGCCACCACACCCCACTTTGAGCCTTTCAAAAAAGATTAATTAGCTAGATGAATTCAGACACAAGACAGTTTCTTAAAAAGCCTTTTTTGGATTAACTCAATGAGATTGAATCTATTTTCTTCTGCCACTAAATCACTAGAAACATGCCAAGAAAGCTGGGAGTATATTCTTTGAAATAATAAAAGCAAACTGACTCATCAACTAGACAGACTCAAACCAAGCAGTGAATTAAGTGATGTTCTACTTCAGTGCCTTTCATAAATGCTTTGTATGTTGTTGTATCACTAAATATCCATTTTCACTTTGTGTATAAATTAAATTGGCTGTATGACTACCCTTTAAACAGAAACATGACCACTTTATAAGAGATTGAGAAAGTAGAGATCAGAAGAACTTCACTGTAATCTTACTCTAACATAACCTCTTATCATTTTATTTTACTTTATTTTTAATTTGTACATTTTCAAATATTTTGCAAACAACTTTGTGGATTACCATTAACATTGCAGTATGTTTTATAAGGAACAGTTTTAGTATATAACTAAAATGTTTATTTAACTATCTTTTTCTTTTAGAATTAGGTTGCTTTCCATTTTTTCCATTTTAGAAATAATAAAATGAATATTTTTTAGCATTGGCTTTTTGAAAGACTTTACCCTTATGATCTCTGTAAGATTTTGATAATGATTTACCTTAACTCTCTCACTGTTTTCAGAAAGTATGAAGTCATTATACATGTTAGTGCAAGAGAAGTTTCATGTTTTATCTTAGTAGTTTATGAACTCCCTTTACCCATTCATCATGAGAGTGTACTTAGTTAAGTTAGTAAGCTTTTAAGATAATGTAGGTTAAAAACTGTTTAAACCTTAATGGTAGTTGTAATTTTTGCTTTAGATCTTTAAACCACTGAAAAATTTGGTTCATCGGCAGAGTTTTTAGTAGTCATCCCGGTATTCCCCAGTCTTGAGAAGAAATGCACTTATACTGTACTGGGAGCTTGCTAAAGCTCCAGTTTAGGATCTGATTAAAATACTTAATTACTGGCAGGATCGTGTCTTTCACCAATAAGTAGCTGTAATTTGAAAAGCTGTGTAACATTAAAACTTGAAATTGGCTATTCTTGAATCAAGCACCTTTATTTAAAAAATCTTAATGATGTTTGCTATTATTACTTTTTAAAAGTTTAATTGTAGGGTTAGCATTATCTAACTGTTAATTTCAACAGACTATAGTCTTGCCTGTTTTGGTTAGGCTAAGCATAGTTAGGGTCACGTTCTCTTGAGTGATTCTTACAGGATTAATGTGAGATTAGCTTTGTGATTGCTGATGGGATATCATTGATGATTGCTGTAATAAATACTTTAGAATATATTTGAACTTTGTACTAGATATACCTAAATAAGAATTTTTGCCCTGCTCCTTCTTAGCTGTGTGACTTCGATCGTGCTGTCTAACTTGAGCCCAAGATTCCTCTGTGCAGTGAGGAGAAGAACCCCTGTTTCCAGGACTGTTGTTGTGACTGAGTTTGACTATGGAAAGTAGCCAGCGTGGTAGTGGTCAGTAGTAGGTGACCAGTAAGACACAGCTATTACTTCACAAGCAGTATAATTTTATGTTAAGAATTGTTGTTTTATAAAATATAAGTTTGCTGATATAAATGTAGATAATAATCATGTAGCTTGTGAAGATTTTTGTTCTTAAAGGGTTGAACAAGAAGTACTTGAGATTTATTTCTGTGATTGTGTTTCCTATAGGGTTTAGTTTATTACTTGATGTATTTTGTGCTCTCCATGGACCAAGAGAAAAGTGTGTTGAAATTCTGAGGAGTGGCCACTTGTTAGCTATCTCACCGGGTGGAGTTCGAGAAGCTCTAATGAGTGATGAAACCTATAACATCGTGTGGGGCACTCGGAAGGGCTTCGCTCAGGTTGCAATTGATGCAAAAGTGGTAAGTCACGTAAAGTTAATTCTTCAAGTGAGCTTAGTTAAATGAGAAGTAAATGCTTACTGAGCCAAATGCAGAAGAGCTTGGGTAGCAATTTGTAAGCTCTCACTAAGAAATACTCCTTGTACATGGGACATCAGATTAAATAAAATTAATCTAGAAGTTTGGTAAATATTCAACAAGCTTATTTTTTTAAAGCTGAAAATCCAGCTTCTTTTCATGACATTTGTAATGTTTTGTTTTTTTTTTTTTTTTTTTTTTGATTTTTCTCCGGTACCAGGAACCGAACTCACGACCTTGCGCTTGCCAGGCAGGCGATTTTGCCGCTGAGCTAAAT